TTGTACTTTCACATACTGCTTGAGGTGATTGCATTTGTGCATTCAGGTAAGTTGGTTAAAGGAATTAAAATAGTGAGCTCTGTTTATTCAGCCAAACTGTTTAGAGTTTCGGATTTATTAGCTGTCACGCCTCTCTCGGCCTCCTCTTACTCCTCCTCAATCTTTTTGGCTTGAARTGATTCTGTGTTGGCACATTCTGTAATGCAACATTTCACTTGTCTAGAAACCTCCCCTGCTAGAGAAGTAACACAAAACCCCAGGAAACTTACCTAAGTCTCCAGTTTCACTACCAACTCAAAACAGCCACAGTTCACTCAGAGCCAGCTGAATCTCTGCCCAGCTCCCCAAGCAAGCAGGGGCAAAGTCAGGCATTCATATCAACTTCGGACACACTCGGGTGCAGAGAAAGCCTGCTTTGACAGAACTTCTACAGAAGAACCAAGAGACCAAACACCCAGTAAGAGGCTACAAAGACATGAGGACAGAGATGAAAAGGAAGAGAACATCAAACGAATAGGAATTATACATATATTTGCATTAATCCAGAAAAAAAACACCTATAGGTTTTCATTTGTGATACTGGGTTAATGAACTTCTAATGTTAAAGAGAAAATGCAAAGTAAAATGGGAAAGAACTGAAGTGGGAAAAGATTTCTTAATAGTCATCAGATGAAGTAAAGGATCTAAAGAGCTCTTTTGGCCAACGGGATCATCAACAAAATCGGTAAAAAACTGCACCTTTTTTCAGCAACAGTCTTATGACTGTGAAAACACTTAGTTCAGTGCCCCAAGAGGCTACACAAATGACTCAAAAGCTTCAGTGGAACTCCAATATACCAAACATAGCCACCCACCTATTTATGTGAACCATAATACACAGAAAGGATGCCTATTTGCAAACTTGTTCTCTGAGATTTTTCTCTCACTGTGAAAAAAAGGATCAGGATTACACTCACCTGAATTTCAGTTTGAGCTGATTCTCCATCAGGGACCATTTAAAATACAAAAAGCATTCAGTAGCAAAGAGCCTGTTCCACCTTTCCCAAATTTTTCATATTGTCCAGCACAGTCCACAATGCAAGAACTTCTACTCTTAAATTCACTGAATAACTTAGTAATTACTCAAGATCCAAAAGATACCACGTGTTTTGAAAGAATGTGATTACGAAGCCAAAAGAAATAAACAGAATTACATCCCAACCCCAAAAGTATCCAATAAAAAGTACTTTGTTGCCTCACTTATAAGGAGAAATGAGAAGCACACAACCCAAATAAATTGGTGTTCAAGCAATGTCACAATATATTCCCATGTAGTACAGTGATAAATCTTTTCTGCTACTGAGGTCCATTTTTTCTGGAAAAATAAATTTTTCTATATAGAAGCTTCAGRGGCCAGGTCCAGCAGAACCACTGCAAAACCCAAACAGTGCAGGAAGGAGGATACAGCTACAAAGGGTCAGCTTTWCTGGTACACACCTAAACTGCATAAGAAATACCTCTTGTGTCGAGATGCCTGAAAACAGGTATTACCAAAACAAACGCATCTGATCTCCACACTATACATACATGGCTGTGTACTCTGGAATTTTCAGGATACTGCAAAGGGAGAAACCAAGTAAAATACTTTTTAAAGATCTCCAGAAGTCAACTAAAAGCAGATAAAATTTTAACTTGTTCAGAATACAGCAGCTGGTTTCACCATATGTTCACAAAACTCAAAATACTAAGATTTAATGGGATATATTCAGAGGTACTTCACAGCACTGAGGCCCTCTGCTAAAATGGTGTTTTGCTTCAGACCTAATCCTTCAATTTGATTTTACAGAAACTGAGAAATAAATTAGAACTTATACATTAAGCTCATACATGAGCTCTCAATTTAAAATTGCCTCTGGATTACATTTTAATGGCTCTATACATGAAGTGAGAACAGTATTGATTTTTTATTTGAAAAACAGTCAGTCAAGTTAATACAAAGCGTCCACCTTGGACATAACATTCCACACTTTGCAGGTAAGTGTTAGAAGAAAACTCCCTGATCAAGGTAAGCCCATACAAAACCAGTCATTCACTGTAATCTTCTAAATCACATTTCAGACAATAATATTCCAGCTGAGACTGTGCCTAGCAAATTGCATTTAAATGGCCCACAAAAATCCATTTAGACTTTCACTTGCCAGAAGAGCACAGGGGRTACTAAAAACTCTTGCATTCTCAAGTTTCTAACTATAATTGATTGATAGGGTAAAGAATTGCACACAACATCCGAGACTGGGAAAGACGGAAAGGCAGTATACATTCGAAGCTAAAGAAAACTCTGTCCTCAAGAGAGGAGACAGTGTGGAGGCATCCAGGCCAATCTGCAGCCAAACAAACAGGAATCTTCAGCTTGTAATTTACACAGAGAACAAGACATTTGTGTTTTGCCACCTTCACTGAAGCACACAAAGTGAGAGCCACTGCACTCCAGTTTTGGCATCAGTCCAACCTGACCTTTGCGTCCCTCTCAAGCTCATCACTGGTATCTCAAAGCTTGAATTCAGGAAGCTGCTTGGTCTGCCAGGCACTATCCACCTTCCTCCATGAAACAAAAACATTTCATGTTACCTCTCCAATGCAGTTACCTCTCCAATGCATCACTGAGTGAAATTTGTTCAGCTAAGGACACCAACAYACCCTGTCCTTCTCTGGAGCAGTTCATCCAGACACATTCAATAGCATGACCAACATTTTGTCTCTTTGAAACATAAAAAATTCCACAACTCTAAAGATGCTCCTCAATGTGAGGGAGGGTACCATTATTCTGGCYGTAACTGCACCACCCATGCCCTTCAAGAGAGTTAACTGATGTTGCCTTAACAGCATATTTAAGAGTGGAACAACACAAGCCATTTCAAGCATCTTGTTACCCATTCTACAGAGAAAATCATAGATCTGAAACTTGACAGATAGCATGGTTGCAGTCGGCGGGATGAAGACTGTGGTTTGATTGCTTAAACTGATGGCAAGATAACACCTGCTGTCAGCTACTGCCAGAGGTGATTTGCTCTTTCAAGCAAGAGCCTTGCTTAACATCTTTTTGCAGTCCTTGGGTATCCGTACTTAACTAGTACTTCACAGGACTGCTTCTCTGCTGTAGAGTACCAGAGCTTGGATGGATCAGTCCCACAAATTTCCTTTCTAAATTSTTTCAAGGTAATTAAGGTAATTTCTATTAAACTGATCCATATTAGTAATTCCTCAGGAGAAAAAAATGGTTGAAAAGTAGCAATAGCACAGGCTGAGGAAGAAGCTACCACTGAATCTGTTGTCAAAATAGGCATTTGTCCAATCACACAGCTCCAGGGCACAGAAAAATTAGGCTCACATTGAAATTGCCTCCAAATATAGAATACAAAATTACAGTGCTTGAACTATGACTCGGCATGTGAACTCAGAAAAACATATTTTCACTACAGCATCTGCTGGCCTACATTTCAAACTCCCTCACTAATGAATTAATCAGCTGCAAACTAGTGGTGAAGATTTCAGGGTCAACATTAGTATTCACTGGCTCTACAATGGGCTAAATTGAGAACATAAATCTTAGCTATTAGTAAAGCAATATTTTGCATTATCTTATTTGAACCAAGGAAAAAACATGCTTTATAGAATGAAGTGGAACAGAAATTTAGAGCAATTATTAAGTATTGACTTCAGACCCTCCACTGTTCTTTTTTGGTTTCTTTTCTTTTTCATTCCTGGCTGTCATACAGAAAATATATATCCTAAATTTTTTTTGTGTCCTAGCAATTCACCTCTTTCAGATACCTCAAAACTCTCGAATCTAAAGTTTAGAGAAATATTTAACATTATTAACCATTTATTTGTTTATTGTTAAACGTATTGACCGGACTAAAAAGCACAGATTCTAAACCAGTATCTCTCATGATTCTCAGGTGCCAGATATTCATTCTTGGTATGGGATTATGCATGTCCAGCATCAAAATTCTTGTGATTTATGTAGTCATTTATTACACGAACTGCTTTTACTGAACAGTCATAACCACGCTTGCCAAACTAGAACTATTCAAAAGTCTGATTTCTTCTAACCATAAGAAATAAAGCTAGACTGAGAGCAGTCAGAGCTTATAATTTCATTTGCAGTGACAGAAGCATAAAAAATCAGAATTATTATTTGATAACTAATTCTTTTTGACAGAGTTAAGCAGAATGTTCTAGTTAAGGCACATAAATGTACCATTTTTTAAAAATCCTTTCAGCTTACATCATTAAACTACATAYATTTGCCCTCAGCCTTAAAAGATGCAATTGTAAAAACTAGGGCAAATAGACTTCCATTTAACAGTGCACACCTCCTCACATGTAAGAAGTCAGAAAGGAAGAACCAGCATTTCCCTGTTTATAGGTCAGTAGTACAACATTGTGCTAACACTGACAGATCAGACACCTCCTCCCCCTGGACATTAAAAATCTAGTCCTGGGTGATGACATACTCCAGTAATTGCAGGTGAGGTGTACTGACCTAACTAAATCTGTGTCAGCTGTTCATGTCCACAGCTACACTTTGGAAAAACTCATCTCAAACAACTCAACTCACATTTTCTTGGTGTTCACAGTAGGGAAAGAAAGAGGCTGATATTTGACCCAAAATGTATGTCAAGAATCCTCTATCAAGCATATTCTTCAAACAGAACTGCAAAATCAGATCACATAAAATCTTAAGTAAAAAAGCCTTTGCCGAAAAAGTGGAACACAAATTTACTCCTAACCCTCTACATTTGAGTTCTGCAGAAGTATCTAAAATCCTTTGTCACAAACTTAAACCAGAAACTACCATAGGCAGAAGTGAAAACTGTTTAAAGGAATGATTGTTTTTGAGTTTCTAGCAGACCAGTGCTACTGCACATAGAAGGAATGAGGAGGAGGGGTTCCTCTTCTGAAAACTGCCAGGATTCTGCTGGGGGGCCTGACCCAGACAATGAGTACCAGCTGCCTACCTTCACTGGTAGCTGCATTCTTCTGGGCTTTGGTGGGTGTGTGATCCGTACTTGAACTCACGTCGGATGAGATGCTTGAGCTGCCCTTGCCTGCAAAAGGAGAAAGAGGGAGGAAAAGAGAGAGAACAAACATTGAGTATCAACACTGAAATAGAAAGATCTTCAATGTCTGAACCTGGAACAATTCCAGGAAGCTGTAAACTAAGTTTAAAGCAGCTGATGTTCATTTTGTACACACTAGGATAGGAGTACTTGCACTGTAACTTCTAGCATGTGCATCTTTGCAAAAAGGCTGGAAATATCCTCCTGTGCCACTGCATACTTGGTAAGCTCCATTGTAAATCAAATGTTTGTGATTAACAACATTAAGGGAACTTAAAGGCTGAGTTCACTCATTCAAAAACCTCTAACACAAATTAGGACAAATGGTTAAGTTCAAAATATGTTAAATGAGTTTAGATTTCTGTTTTATGTGTTCACATCATGTATTCAAGTCACTTGGTCATGTGAAAATGAAAGCAGGGTATCTGTTTTCTCTTTCACTATGCTCACTGCATGATGTAATACACCATTTCAGAACTACCTTCAAAACTAACGTCTCAATAATGGAGGATTTCTAACTGTAAATCAAAACCTATGGATGTTCCTTCTCTTATTTTTTTCTCTCAAAACATTTCCTTGAATTTCCTACATCAGTGTCCTCAGACCTATATGCAGGAAGTCAAACTCTAGACMCAAGTTATAAGCAAAAGAAATCCAAATCCAAATTAAAAATTAACCCAGACAGATCCTAAAGAAGAGCAGAGTTGACTAAACCAAAACTGTCTTTTTGTTTACCTGTGAGGAACTAACGAGTCACTTCTGTTTCCCTTCATTCTACTCAATCTCAGTAATTACTAACAGGGAATACATTCTACTCCACAGCAGGAATCCGACCAATGAGCAATAAGGGAGAGAATTCTAGAGACAGGAAATGCAGTGAATACTGTTACATTAAGAAGTTACCCATCCCCACAAACACTGCATCACTGAAGCTTTTAAGACCTGGGTTCTTTTTTTGACCAAAATTAGGATGTATGCAGAAAGCTAGCTGACACCAAGTTTCTGTCACTTGAGTAACCCTATAATCACAGCAATGTTAGCAAGAGACTTTTCTGATCTGTTATTTCAATCAAGCATTCCTTGGGGTTCTGGGTTACAGTATGCCTGGTTTTCATAACATTGAGATGTAAGGGAGAGATCTGCTTTTTAAAGGTGCCACAACAGAACAAGGATTTAAGTTTTAATGGGAAACGACTGGAGAATGTGCAAATGTAGGTTGCTTCACAACCACGGTACTGCCACTTAATCTGTCAGCCAGCCCTGGAGGATCATTCTCCACAGAAAGCTGCTTAAGTTAACATGCTTAGATTTGAGAGATGATTATGAATTGAASTGGAGGGAAAGGATATTAAAAAGGCCAGAAGGAAATAAAAAAATAATTGGCTAAAACTAGAAGTTGGGCAGGGTGAAGTGAAAGAAAAAAGTGTATTTCCAGTGATTCACTAACTGCTTTTTACAYTCCTTTAAGAAGTTAGGCAAAACCAAGAAGCAGCGCTTCTAGAATATCACTTCAATTGCTCTCAAGCTGTGACATGAGTTGGAGTAATGGACTGTGGTCTTTATAGAAATTACTGCCCCAAAATAGCTCTCTGCCTAAGGCAACCAGGTTTGCGGCAGAAGACAGGCAGAAGAAAAAGGGGAAGGATAGATGTTAAATGTTCTTTCCMAGGAAGAGGCCAAAGAACATGAAACACCTGCAGCAGCTGATAATCACATCTTTATTGACAGGAAAAGTATTTAGATGGTATTGCCACTACCAGCAACTCCTTATGTATCAAAARCTGCAGAGGCAGAAAAAATTCCAAGGGGTATCAACACTCCTTGGCAGATTAATAGAAAGAAAACAAAACTAAACAGACTAACTGGAAAAATTATTTCCTCAAAGCAAATAAGTAGGATTTCCTCTAAAAAATAACTCATCTTTTTGGCAGGGTGAGGGGGGAGGGAAGAGGGAAAGGAAGTCAGTGATASCAAATAACAGCAGAGTTTCTAGATGGTCATATCTGGTATAGGATGTTTTTCACAAAGTGAATGCTCTCCAGGCTCCATACCTCCCCATGAACAAAAGTAGTCCTATCTACCCCAAATACAAGCTCACCTCAAAGAGCATAACCAAAATATTTCACCCACTGTATGCTACTAATTGTCTGTACACCTAATAGCACTGTAGCAACATATTTACAATTTACAATTGCACATTTCTACAGAAATTGCAAAATGTCTGATAACAAGACACATTTTTCATTTAATTCTACTTGAACTTCAAAATATTTTAACATCTTGAAAGAATTTGAAACTAAAAATCAAGAAAAAAAAACTCCACAGTTACTGCTTTGATTGGATACAGTTCTACCTGTAATTATATTTTTAGATAGAGTCTTTTCTTACTGTATATAGCTCCAAAACTAGACTTTTTCACTATTGCCTATTCTGAAACTCTCATTCAGATGAGGGGGAAGCAGAAGATACATGCTAGTACCTCCCTGCCAGTAACTTTTTCCACTGAAAATCTCTAGTGATTTTCAATGTGTTTCAAATAGACTAGCTGACACTGTGTATATTTTGGTTTGTGGTTTTTTTTTTTTTTTTTTTTTTTAGTGCAAAACAAAGCTTCTAGTAGTCTACATTTGGCTACTGCAGATTCATGTACACACACCAGAGCTAAAACCTAGGAGTATTCAAATATTCTCCAAACAGGAAAGGCTGGGAGAACAGCAGCTGTTCAGCCTGGAGATCGCAGTTGGCCTCTGCTCCCAACTAAGAAGTGACAGGATAAGAGAAAACAGCATCAAGTTGTGCCAGGAGAGGTTTAGGTTTGATACCAGGAAAAAAATTCTGCGCTGAAAGGGTGTTCAGACATTGAACAGGCTGCCCAGAGAAGTAGTGGAGTCACCATCCTTGGTGGTATTTAAGAGACACCGCCCCCATGCAGATATGGTGTTTAGGGACACGGTTTAGTGATGGAATTGGCAGCACTGGGTTCACGGTTGGACTCCACTGTAAGGGTCCTTTCCAACCTAAATGATTATATGGAATATTAGGATCACAGAAATTCAAATTCTGCCGATTTCCCTCGAGCCACRGCAAAACTTCAAGCACAGTATAACAGTGGTTTCCAGAGGCCAGTTCCTCTCCAACTCAAAAAGTGCACTGAGAAAGTCATTGCACATAAATATACCCTGACGAGGGTTCTAATGCAATGACAGCTGGAAGGATCAAACAGAGGGCAATACTGCAAAGACTACAGCAGTAATGACTGCATTTGATCCTCTGCTTAAACAAATTAAAGGCCTGCCAAAAGCTTCCCTAACATGACTTGCAATCATCTAGAGTTTCCTTCATACAGTCAACAGTTCTTTATTTCTAAACCAGAAGCTGCAATSCAAAAGAAAGGAAACTGTACTGTGGTAGTGGTAGACATGGTAGAAGARAAATCTATTTTCCTAGAATATAACATAGTTCACATGGGAAGCGAAGGTAGCATGTTCTTCACAAGACCTGCAAAGAATCCCACAGCCACACAATTGCAATTTAAATCATGTCTMTGACCTTCTTYGGAAGAAGCAAAACTATWGATTTTTTTTTTCCRTCTACCACTGCCAAAGTTTTTCAAYAGTCATAGGAACAAGGTTTCAGCCATCTAACCWAGCATGCCATTTCCTACACATTAAATTTTGATCCTGCYGGAAAGAAAGCTAGAATCAGGTAAGCACATAATGTAATAGATACTGCTGAACATTGTCCATCTCCAGTATTTGYAGCCCATGGAAGTTTTTCASCCATAGRTRTCCTTCTACTCAGTARCCCTACAGCCCTATTAAATCTACCTTGTCTCTTCTTGAATKATGATTATTAAAATAACATRTTTAATTTTCTTTTTATCATCACAGATGGCTATACTGACTACAATGTTACATTTGTTTCATAAAAGTGCTTGCTATCTTCAGTTTTGYAAACTTTGGATTCTGTCAGTCACAGTCACTGTTGGGAAGTGTCAAAGTTGTMACAAGTCAGTCAGGACAGAACCAATGCAATTTAAACTTACCCAGGAAAGCACAGTCTATAACTATATGACACTGAAAAACTACTTTTGGAACCACATATGCAAAACCTGTCCTAGTCTGAACAGCAGTGAGTCCTCTTGCTCTGGAACGATTTTATTAGGGTTTTTTTCAGCACATTTGCCTTGGATTCTGGCATATGGGTGTTTGCATGCTGTATTTTACATGTCCTTCTAAGATCTCATAAAGACAGGCTGAACTGACCACTTTTTCATATGTGTCACCCTGGAAAGCAGCAGTATTTCTCTTGACATCAAGCTCTTATGTGATGACACCTTTCTTCAGCAGGCAGTGACAGGTACATTACAAATTCAACAGATAGTAGGGCCAAATCCATAGCTTGCTTGCCAAACTGAAGTGAAACATTAGACAAAATGCCAAAAGAGAACAAAAAAAAATTTAGGAAAAAAAAGAGCAAAAAGCAATCAAGTCCAGAGTATCCTATCCATTAATCTTCTTAAGTGTCCAAAAATATTATATTACAATGACTTTGATGTAAAAAAAAATCTGAACATTTTGTTTACTTAAGCCATCAATTCTTATCCAAATTACATTATTCAAATTAAACTTCTCAACAYAAAAGTGCATATGTGCATGGTTTTCCTACCAGATGATCCTTAGTTTCTCTTTTATATCTTCAGACAAGTTCYTCCAAAATCAAATACATGCCAACCACATCAAGAAGGGATCCAGAAAAAAAAAACAATCCAAACCTCAAAGCATCAGGGATCACTCAARAGGAAAGAAAAATCTCTTTTCCTTCTCTTCTTTCCATGACACACATTATGCTGGTCCAAATCACCAAAACCTCAAGTGTATCTCTTTACAGTCTGCTCTTCCAAAGACTGCAGACTCCCACTATGTTTCCAAGTATTYCCATGGAAATCAGCAGCCTAGTGCAGCACTTTGGCTTTGTGGATACACAGC